ACCTCTCTTGTGTTGTTGATGTGTAACGCCCCACTTTTATTTGCCAAATTTCAGAATAAATTTTTCGAAATTCTTTTCATAAATCATTTGGCGTTACTCGACATATAAACAACATTTACGAATTATCAATTTCTCACAAGTAATTTAAACATCATCAATTATCCAGAGTCAAATCGAAACCACCCTCACAGGGTTCCAAACAAAGTTTCGAAATCAATCATTAGCAAACGGGGCATCTCCCCAAACCAGTATTCAAATTTCCCAAATCATAAATAATCCAGAGTTCAACATAATGACAAAAGTAACCATATTATATATAGTAAAGTGGAAGCTACATAATAAGTTCTGGTCAGATAACCGACCACCACTCGTCTCTCGCCGCCATGCAGCCACCGGCTCAACCTGCATCCATGAAGAGCAGGTGGGGATGAGCACAGATGGAATCCGTTGTGCTCACCACTATGCAATGAACAGTTATATTAAATGTGTACAGAAAGTAAATATGGCATGGTCACAAGTATGAACATAGACAATCAAATCTTTCCCATCTCCTATCCAGAGTCCATTACATATCTCATGTGCACACCTATCAGAATAGACTACACTTGGTCCACGTATCGTCTCCCCGCGGGAACTCTAACGTTGCCAAAGTAGGAGAGTCATCCGTCAACCCCGTGGGTTTTAGACGGGAAGTCCATTGTCAATCCCGAGGGTATTAGACAAGTCTGCCAACCCCGAGGGTTTTAGGCAGGAAATCCATCACAAGAGGAGATTACCCACTCGGGGTACGTTCTATAACAACGGGGATACGTTCGACGGCCGGTACAGCTCACGCCGAAAGTTACACATACACATTTCATACTTTGATCATACCCAAGTAAGTAAACATATTCACAAATCAAGGCATAGACAATTTTATAAATAAACCCACCTGGAACCGGACGATAAAGTAAAATAACCAGAAAGTCATAGGTGGCCGAAATACCGCTCGTCAGACACCTACATAAGTCATGACAGTCCCACAAGCAACTATCTCGACTCTATACAGATAACGAGAATTATACTTAGTCGAATCACATCGACTAAGAAACTCGTGGAAGTTATGGAGTTGGAACATTAGGACAACTCCTAGACTCACCAACCAATTAATAAATCATATAAAGGCATACAATAAAGTTTTGAAACAAAAAAAACGAGGTCATCAAGTCAAGGACTTGCCATTAAAGCCAAAACCGATCAAAAGAACTAGTTTTAAATTTATAAGAATATGGCTCTAAGGAGATAGGCTTGGACAACTCAATCCAAATTTTTACAGCACATAAAGAACTGAAAATTAAACATTTTCACCAAAGGAAAGCCCCTAAACATGCTCATAACCAATTTAAATAAATTGAACAAAATCTGGACAGAATTCAAATTAATTCATTTAAAATAGCTAAAATCGTAATTTAATTCTGAAATTTTTACAGTAGCCAGATATCATTAAGAACAGACACATATCCAAAAATTTGCCAAATCGGACAAGAACTCGATTTTATATGATTTTATTACAAAACCGTCCAGAAACGGTTTTCAAGTTTTGACAAGGCTACAAGCCATTTAAAATTGTCAAATTTTAACTACATGTTATATAATAGCAATGTGACAACATATCCAAAAATCTGAATTTTTGGAGCAATACACAAATTATAGTGATTTTAGCAAAACGGGCTGCCGCACAATTTTCAAAAACGCATAACTTACAATATACACAACGGAACGACACAAGGCCAAAGCCGTTGCGTCAAGGACATTCCTAAGTCCAAAATTCCACAACACTTCCACAGAAAATAATACATTAACCTCAGTTCGACAATTTTTTTCAAAGTGACGGCAATCACTTTGATATTTAAATAGCAAGTATATATCAATAATAACACAAGATGCTTATCTATTAATAGAAATTCACACGTTCAGCAATAACAACGCATATACGAGCATTTAAATACACATAAGAGCGAAATAAATAAATCGAAGGTTAGCCCGGGTACCGCTCTCGGGACGGAGTTACGAAACGACAACGTAAAGGTCGAACGGCTTGCTAATGGAACCACAGGACCGTCGAGACTGCAGCGATTGAGCTCGGAAACAGAGCAGGATCACCGAGACAGCAACTAAGCCACTCTAACAGCAAGAACACGGCCACTGGGCTAGCGGCAATGAAGCCCACGGACAGCGACGACACGGGCTCGACGGGAGCTGTTGGTCGCTGCGAATGGTCGCGGCAAGGGAGAGGATGCGGCCAGAGGTAGCTGCACAAGAAGGGAAGGCGTCATTGCTGGGGTTCATAGAACGTCCAAATGCGAGTGGTGGATGGGGAAGGAGACGCTGCTGCAGGGAATTAGCCGAGGAAGATGGACTGCTCATGATGTGGCCAGAAGTTCACACACAGAAGGGCCGCGATTGGATAACGGGGCTCGTCGGCTACGTTTGACACTCCGACGAAACTCGACGGGATTCGACGGCCACTTTTGGCACTCCGACAGGACTCGGCGGGACCCGACGGAGGGTGATGATGGTGACCAGATTTCTGTGAAGGCTTCTCTTCGATTGTGCTAGGGCGCCGCGATGGTTGATGGCTGGAAGTTGCAGGATGACAATGGTGACGATCACGGAGATGCTCTGCTTGCGAAAGAGATGGTCGGAGTTGCAGGCGGAGGGCAGTGATGGTGGAGGCGTTGCAGTCGCTAGGTGATGTTGGTGATGGCCTGACAGGATGAAGAAGAAGGCCTGTTGCGATCTTGGTTCTGCTGATGGTGAAGATGATGGCGCGATGATGGGGGATGCAAACGGATTACAGCGACGGTTTCCCCTTTCTTCCTCTTTTCTCTTCTTTTTTTTAAAAAAAAAAAA